TGTGGTTTTTGTTATTGTGGTTTTTCCCCCATGTACATAAAAAAGGAATGCAGAAAATACATTCACCATGCCTGACCTTCTGCAGTGTAGAGCTCTTTAGACGAGATGAGGCACTCCCCCCGAGATGCACACCAAGTTTTAAGGCTCAGATGTTAGTGAAACTAAGCTTTTAAGTCCCACAAAACTCTGGTGCATCATGCAAGCAATGTCCAACCTGAGGAGGATATCTCTGTCCGTGGTGGATTTGTCCAGGAATAAATTGAGGCTGGAAATAGCAAACTAAAGTTAGCAGGGATGTTCTGCCTCGTGACCTCCTTCAGGAACATCCTGTCCAGAGGAAAGGATATTTAAGGAGAAAGGAAGCAGCATGAGTTCAACTCGGCCAAGTAGTAGAGGAAGAACATCGCAAACACAAAGCGTGGTTCTGGTCTGTGTTCCAGCGAGAGACGGGTGGGACAAACAGCCATGAAATACCTCCGACACGCTTGTAATTTGTTTGTCCTTCTCCTCTTTGACCTGCTCCGTATGTTTTTAATTCTCCTTTTGCTTATTTTTCTCTCCTTTTATTTTCACTTTGACATAGGTTTTATCACCTGTCTTTCTGGAAATTAAGCCTCAGAGGCTTGAGCCACTTGGCCAAGACGGAACAGTGGGAGAGCTGGGGTTTGAACACGTGCCCCCTTTACTCCAGGTTGACAGGCATATAGAGGGTGATCAATAAATATGGTGTATATGGGCACCTGGGTGGCTCAGTTGGTTAAGCGACTGCCTTCGGCTCAGGTCATGATCCCGGAGTCCCGGGATCAAGTCCCGCATCGGGCTCCTTGCTCGGCGGGGAGCCTGCTTCTCCCTCTGACCCTCCCCCCTCTCATGTGCTCTCTGTCTCTCTCTCATTCTCTCTGTCTCAAATAAATGGATAAAATCTTTTAAAAAAATTTTTTTTAATAAAATAAATAAATAAATATGGTGTATAAATAAAAGAAGCAAGCTCCAGCTTACAGAAAGGGAGTCTAAATCTATGCGGATTCTTGATCATGCCTACTGAGTGAAGTAATAATAACAAGATAGCAATATTTCATACAGCAATATGGAAAATCAGGTACCATGTTTGTACCCATTTGACAGCTGAGGAAATTGAGATTCAGAAAAAGTTAAGTCCCCCACTAGACTACAGGCATGGCAATATTTTGTCTTGCTTGTGACTTCACATTGAGCCTAGAGATACTAAATGTACAGTTCTGTCTGCTTGATCACACTTCCCCAAGCTCACCCACATAGTAAGTAGTGGAGATGTATTTATATATTTTTAAAGATTTTATTTATTTATTTGAGAGAGAGAGAGAACAGAGGGAGAGTAAGAAGGAGAAGCAGACTCTCCGCTGAGCAGAGAGCCCGACGTAGGGCTCTATCCCAGGACCCTGGGATCATGACCCGAGCCGAAGGAAGACGCTCAACCGACTGAGCCACCCAGGCATGCTGTAAGTAGTGGAGATTTAATTTGAACTCAGTTCTCTCTGATTCCAAAGGCTGGCTCCAGGCTATCAATCACTAAGCAATGACAAAATAATTATGGAGGTAATCTAGGTAAACTGATCATATCTTAGAAGCAGTTAGAGCATTTTGCCATAATGACTTGAGGTTTCTATTAGTCAGGAGTCTCATTGGTAAGTAATAGAAGCCAAACCCAAACAAGCTTAAACAAAAAGTTGGGGAGATATGAGGCATAGTTGAAGCAAGGGGCTCACAGCTGTCAGTCACCACTCTCTATCCTCTTAGGTTTTTTTCTCCATGCTGGTTTCACCCTCCTGCAGCTTTCTCCACATGCTGCTTCTGCTTCCTTCCCACCAGCCTCGCAACCCCAATGGAAAGAGGCAATCCCTTTGACAAAAGTTTCAAGAAAACTTCTGAGAAGGGCTCCCATTGGCTCAGCCCGAATTACTCTGAACCAATCACTTTGGCCTGAGAGATGATGCTTTCATTGATCAGGCTTGTGTCTTATGCGTACTCCTGGATCCTGAGGATAGGAAGAGCCTTCCCAAACCACACGGACTAAGAGTGGAGAAGGGCTAGCTCTCCAACAGAAAACTGGGGTGTCATTACCAGGGGAGGGCGCAATAGATGCTGGGTCAGCCAAATGAACAAAGATTTGGCTCCTTGTCAGCTGACTTATGAATTATTGTTACTGGTCACACACACACAAAAAATGGCTATAAGAGAAACTGTCAATGAGATCAGTGCAGAGCTATTCTTTCAATTGAAAGAAGAATCAATAAACTCATTGGAAATAAGTCCTGGAGCGCCTAGAAGCCGTTTTATGGATGAGAAAACCAAGGTTCAACATCCCTGATTAAATGCCACCTTCTCAGAGAAGCCTTCTCCATCACCTTATCTAAAATAGCACCCATGGGGGGAGGGCGCCTGGGTGGCTCAGTCAGTTAAGCGTCAGACTCTTCATTTTTGCTCCAGTCATGGTCTCAGGGTCATGAGATGGAGCCCTACGTCAGGCTCCATGCTCAGCATGGAGTCTGCTTGTCCCTCTGCCCCTGCCCCTCTCCCTCCCCCTCCTTATGCTCTCTCTCTCAAATAAATAAAATATTTTTATAAATAAGTAAATAAAGGAACAGTAAGATGTTAATTTTGAATCAAAGGAGAATCCACAGACGTATTATATTTCGGCAGTCGGGAATGATGAAATGAAATTACTAATAGGCACAAAACAGGTCAGCATCCCCAGGGCAACACATAGTGCTTGGAACCATCTCTTCCATAGATTGCCCAGCAATTAGGTCTCCACTGGACAAAATTCATTTGCATCTCTATGGGCAAGAATCATTTGCATTATTACCAGTTGTGTACAAATTATAGAGTTGCAAAATAGCTCAAAGACAAAGCAAGGCACAGAACCCCATAGAATCAGATAACCTGAAAGGGCCCCCTTCCTTTGCCATACTTCACTAGCATACCCTCTCTTCTCATTTGCCTTTAAGCCATCAACTGGAAATCCAAGGAAACTGAAGGGATGTTCGGTTAGTCAGGACTCTGAGTTGCAAATAACAGAAACTCAGCTCAAGCTGGGTTAAAAGAGAATTCTTTGGCTTATCCTTGGTCGACCAGATTAAAGACTGTGTTCAAGTACAGCTGGATCTAGAAGCTCAGACAAAATCATTGGGAATCTGTCTTGTCCATCTCTTGGCCCTGATTTCCTTTGTTTTGACTTCATACCAGGGAGCCTATCACTCCCGGGGGGGCCCTTCAAGCTCCAGCTTTATATTCAGTTTGGTAACCCATGCAAACAGGAACGCAGGGCTAAGGGCTCCAGCAAAAGCCTACGACTGAATCTCAAAGGCTCTGATGGGCTCAATTTGGGGTCACGGGCTCATCTCCTGAACCAATCACTGTGGTCAGGATGACAGAATGTTCTGATTGACCAGGGCTGCCTGGTCACACGCCCACTTATCAAGTCAGAGAGTAGGGTTAGCTCCTCCTAACTGCGTGGATTGAGCAAGAGAAAGGCGAGTCTTCCTGGAGGAAAATCAAGATGCTGCTGACTTAACATAATTGTATTGTGGAGGCTGCTCAAATTTTAGAATCAACAGCCATCACAACATAATCTTTTTTTTTTTTTTTTTTTAGATTTTATTTACTTATTTGACAGAGAGAGACAGCGAGAGCAGGAACACAAGCAGGGGGAGTGGGAGAGGGAGAAGCAGGCTTCCCACTGAGCGGGAAGCCCGATGCGGGGCTCAATCCCAGGACCACGAGATCATGACCTGAGCTGAAGGCAGACGCTTAACGACTGAGCCACCCAGGTGCCCCCATAATCTTCTTATTTTAAAAAAGATTTATATATATTTTTTATTTTAGAGAAGAGAGAGTGTGCCTGAGTGGGGAGAGGGGCAAAGGGAGAGGTAGAGAGAGAGTCTTCAAGCAGACTGAGCATGGAGCCCAACTCGGGGCTCGATTCCTGGAACCGGAGATCATGACCTGAGCTGAAATCAAGAGTCAGCTGCTCAACCGACTGAGTCACCCAGGCACCCCCCACCCCTATCTCAACATAATCTTACTAAGTACCCTGTTATATACCAGGCAGGAAGGAAACTATTTCTGGTGCCGGGGAAGGAATTACACTTTCTAGAGTTCACTAACATAACCTCTCAGCTCTGCCCTTCCACACACACATACACACAGACCATGGAGCGGAGGCTAGAATTTTAGGAAAATGGAATGAGAATTAATACCCAGGGTGCCGGGGCACCTGGGTGGCTCAGTCGGTTAAGCATCTGCCCTCGGCTCAGGTCATGATCAGGGTCCTGGGATCGAGCCCCAAGTCGGGCTCCCTGCTCCGCGGGAAGCCTGCTTCTCCCTTTTCCTACTCCCCCCTGCTTGTGTTCCCTCTCTTGCTGTGTCTCTCTCTGTCAAATAAATAAATAAAATCTTAAAAAAAAAAAAAGTACCCAGGGTGCCTGGCTGGCTCAGTCGGTAGAGCATGTGACTCTTGATCTCTGGGGTCGTAAGTTCAAGCCCTGTGTTAGGTAGAGAGATTACTTAAAAATAAAATCTTGGGTGGTTTAGTCAGTTAAGCATCTGCCTTCAGCTCAGGTCATGATCCCAGGGTCCTGAGATCGAGTCCCACATCGGGCTCCCTGCTCAGTGGGAAGCCTGCTTCTCCCTCTGCCTCTACCTGACACTCCCCCTGCTTGTGCACTTTCTCTCTCTCAAATAAATAAATAAAATCTTTAAAAATAAATAAATAGCATCTTAAAAAAAAATACTCACACCCTGACTGGGTTGAATAGTGTCTCCCAAAGTTAATATCCACCCAGGACCTCAGAGTGTGACCTTATTTGGAAATAGAGCCTTTGCGGATATAATCGAGTTAATATAGGGGAGAACCAGTATCGTTTCCTTCTACCCCCCGAAGTTTTCAGCTGGAGCCCCCACAAAACAAAAGACAGATTAACCAAGAGGAAAACATAGATTTAATAGAATTTTTACAGGACACAGCAGTTTTTTACAAGCAAATAAAGACCCAAAGAAACAGTTACACTTGAGTATTTTTATACTAGATTTGATGAAGAGGGGAGAGTTGTGGGAAAATGTGATAGGACAAAAAGGGATGTGAGCTAAGAGTAGCAAACGGGGAAACTTAGCGCGGCCTGTTCCTTCAGATTCTCCCGGCTTCCCTCGGTCTTCCGAGATAAGAGTGCCCCGTTCCTCCCAGCACTGGGAGGGCACCTTTCACCGGAGGGTCTATGTATGACCTGCTTCAAAAAGTCCTTCCTGCCCCTGTGTTTCTCAGATTCCTTCAGCTTAAAACATTCAATGTACCCCAAGTGCCATATTTTTGGGTAGCGTATCATTAAGATGAGGTCATACTGGGGCGCCTGGGTGGCTCAGTCGTTGAGCGTCTGCCTTCGGCTCAGGTCATGATCCCAGGGTCTTGGGATCGAGCCCCGCATCGGGCTCCCTGCTCTGCGGGAAGCCTGCTTCTCCCTCTCCCACTCCCCCTGCTTGTGTTCCCTCTCTCGCTGTGTCTGTCTCTGTCAAATAAATAAATAAAATCTTCAAAAAAAAAAAAAAAGATGAGGTCATACTGGATTAGAGAGGGCCCAAGTCCAGTGGTGGGTATGTTTATTAGAGGACAGACACAGAGAAGGAGCGTGAAGACAGAGGCAGGGGATCAGAGCCATGTGGTCACAAAGCCAAGGGACACCCTCCTTGGTGACAATCCGTTGCTGACAACCACCAGAAGCTAAGAGACAGGCATGGGGTAAATGCTCCCTCAGAGCCTCCAAAAGGAGCCACCCCTGCAGACACCTTAATTGTGGACTTCTAGCCTCCAGATGGCTGAGGGCATAAATTTCTGTCATTTTAAGCCACCAAGTTTGTGATGGATATTTGTCACCCCATCCACGGGAAACCAATGCACGCCTGTTACAATTTCTAAAGAGGGAACAATGAATTGGGTCACAAGTTTCTAAAAATATCAAATCAAGGGGCTCCTGGGTAGCTCAGTTGGTTGGGCATCTGGCTCTTGGTTTTGGCTCCGGTCGTGGTCTTGGGATCGTGGGGTCGTGGGGTCGAGCCTTGCGTGGGGCTCCACACTCTGGCGTGGACTCTACTTGTGATTGTCTCTCTCCTTCTCCCTCTGCTTGTCTCCCCGTTCACTCTCTCTCTAAAATAAATACGTAAAATCTTTTTTAAAAAGTTTAAAAAAGATCAATTCAATTCATATTGATGTTGAAGCAAGATTAGTCACATTTTTTTCCCCTGCCTTGGAGGCATCTTGTCTTAATGAGTCACCATGAGGGCAGCTCTCTTTCCTGTCCAAGTGGCAAACTTTTGAGACAGAGTCCATCCCTCTCCTTTGCTGTCTTGGCTAAGGTTGAAAATATTATCTATAAAGTAGAAAATTGAAACTTCCCTACAATGACAGTTACACAGGATTATGTATTCATTTGGGCAGGGACTGGGTGGGAACACAGGAAGAGGAAAATAAAATATGCAAAAGGGAGGTGAAATGTGGATGTTGTTAAACATTAACCGCCGTGGTCCGACTAGGGTTGAGAGCAAAGATCTCAAGTCAGACATACCCCCGTCCAAATCACAGAGTCACAATTTACCTGTGTAACTTAACTTCTCTGAGCATCAGTCTCTCCCTCCATAAATGGGGTTTTTACTCCTGCTTCTTGGCCTGAGGTTTAGATGAGATGATGTATAAAAAGCCTTCACCCTAGAACCTGGCACATAATAAATGATCAATATATTTTGGCTTTAAATTTTTTCTATTTAATTTTTTTAAAGATTTTATTTATTTATTTGAGAGAAAGAGAGAGCACAAGCCAGGGGAAGGGGCTGAGCAGAGAGCCTGACACAGGGCTCCATCCTAGGGCCCCGGGATCATGACCTGAGCAGAAGGCAGTCGCTTGGGGTGCCTGTTGGGTGGCTCAGTTGGTTAGGTGTCTGCCTTCAGCTCAGGTCATGATCCCAGGGTCCTGGGATTGAGCCCCGCATCGTGCTCTCTGCTCAGCGGGGAGCTTGCTTCTCCCTCTCCCTCTGTCTACCACTCTGCCTACTTGTGCTCTCTCCGTCAAATAAATAAATAAAATTTTTTAAAAAAGAAGAAGGCAGTCGCTTAACTGACTGAGTCACCCAGGTGCCCCTCTATTGAATTTTTTAATAAAAAACATCCACAAGGTTCAAAAAGCAAAGTGAGAGGTACCTGGCTGGCTCAGTTGGTAGAGCATGTGACTCTTGATCTCGGGGTTCTGGGTTCAAACCCCACGTTGTATGTAGAGCTTACTTAAAAATAAAATCTTAAAAAAAAAAAAGCAAAGGGATATAAAAAGTAATCCATTGAAAAAACTGACGTCCACCCATCCCTGTGCACCCACTTCCTCCCTCTCCCCTACACCACTGGCAAACACGTTTCTTAGTCTTGTGAATCCTTCCTGTATTTCTTTAAGGAAATATACATGCTTAGCTCCCTTACACAAGAGGTGGCATTCTGTATAAGCTTTTTCTGCATTTTTTATTTTTTTCATTTAGCGGTAATACCCTGGAGATCATTCCACAGCAGTACAAAGAGAACTTCCTCTTCCTTCTTTATCACTGCACACGATTCCATGGGCTGCTGCGTCACCCCCTATAGAGGGAAACTCCAGTTGTTTCTGCTCTGGCAATGACCAATAATACGGCACTGAAAATCTTTGTACTCACTTTCTCTTGTATGTGCACAGGTGTATCTGTGACACAAAGATCTGAAAGCAGAATTGCTGGATCAAAGGGGAAAATGCCAGAGAACTTTTTTTTTTTTAAGTCATCTCTCCACCCAACGTTGGGCTTGAACTTACAACCCCGAGACCAAGAGGGGCATGCTCCACCGACTGAGCCAGCCACGTGCCCCCAGACTGCTGTTGCTACATATGGGCAAGTTGCCCCACAAAGGTCACTGGGGGGATGTATGCCAGTGTCTTTTTCCTGCAGCCTCACCAACACAACAGGCCTGAAAGCTGGTTATTATTTTGATTATTGTTTCAACGTTGTTTGTGCTAAAAAATTTTTTTCTTGCCACATTTTTGTCTATAGATACAAGCACGGTTATCTCTAACTTTATTTATTTATTTATTTTTAGATTTTATTTATTTATTTATTTATTTATTTGAAAGAGAGAGAGCACAGGAGCAGGAAGGACAGAGGGAGAGGGAGAGAGAATCTGAAGAAGATTCCCTGCTGAGTGCGGAGCCCTACGAGGGGCTTGATCTCAAGACCCTGAGATCACAACCTGAGCTGAAACCAAGAGTCAGGCACTTAACCAACTGGCCACCCAGGTGCCCTGATTTATTTATTTTTCAAAGTAAGCTCCATGCCCAGTGTGGGGCTTGAACTCACAACCCTGAGATCAAGAGTCACATGCTCTACTGACTGAGCCAGCCAGAACCCCTCAAACTTTATTGGAAGAAGGCACCTCAGGTGCCCCTGGCTGGCTCAGTCGGTTAAGTGTCTGACTCTTGGTTCCGCTCTGGTCGTGATCTCAGGGTCGTGAGATTGAGTCCCATGCCGGGCTATGCTCTGACCGAGGAGTCTGCTTGGGATTTTCTCTGCCCCTCCCCCTGTTTGCATGTGCTCTCTCTCTCCCCCCACACCCCAAATAAATAAATAAATCTTCAAAATTAAAAAAAGAAAGAAAGAAAGAAGGCACCTCAGAACAAGAACAGGCTGTAATGAAAGAGAAACGATCAGACAATAGGAAAAGGTTTCTAGAGATTAGAAATATGGTTACTGAAAAAAATGTTATGCCCGTGAATATGCTGAAAAATAGAAGAAACGTGGCCAAAGACCAAATTAGTATGTGGAAATATCGGAGCAAGGAAATCCTTCAGAATATGGAGCTGAAATTTTTCAGCAAAAAAGTGCGTGAAGAAAAATTTTTTAAGTGCTTTAGACCTCCATTTCCATATCAAACACGCCTAACCCTTCTAACAAAAATGAATTCAAGATGTATGCCAGAAAAATGAAAATGGAAACCAAAACAAGCAAAAAGGCATGGTATGCAAGAGACGGTAGAATTAAGCTAAGAATGCATGACATATGGGCAGCAGGCCCAGGGAGACAGAAGAGCAAGAAATTAGAACATGAAGTCAACAGGCTCTATGAAAAATAACATAAAGAAGAAAGTCCGTTTTTTTCCACCCAAATTATATTACTAAGGACCTAGATGTTCTAAAAGCAGAAGGTAAAGAAATGCATCTCTTCTATCAATGAGGATTTTAAATACTCGCTCTGGGAATTTGGTGTGGGGAATTGATTACACTCGTTATGGAAAATCCGAGAAGCCAGCAGAAGACCAAGAGGCAGCCAGGGATTAGGGACAGCGGTTGGCAGTGGAGTGCTGGTAAAGGGTCAACTGGCTCTTGGAAAGAAGCCCTGATTTGTTGTCTGTTCCAGTTGGGGGGGATGTAAATACTCCTTCCGTGGCCAATTTCAAGCTGCCAGCATGAGGCCACCGAGCATGGAGAAGGAAAGAGAGGTGCACAATCGCTTCCTGTGTGCTGGGACAGGCCAGCTCCAGCACGCCGTTGGTAGAAAAGTGCCACCACACTCGGGGACAGTGGGAAATCTAACTGCAGCCCTGGGATCAGGGCCACTTGGTAGAAGATGGAACCATAGAAGAAGCTCTACTTCCCTTTCTGTGACAGCTGTTCTGTAGTGGGAAATATTCACATAATTTTATTATTATATATGCTGTGTATTCGAAGTTTCGAATCAACAACCATCACAACATAATCTTATTACACTGCCTACTATGTGCCAGGCAACAGTTCTAGGTCCCAGGGAGATGGAAGCGACAAGATGAAGTCCCTATATTAATACATCAGAATTTGTTAATTCATTCACCAACTAATGGGCATTTGGGTTGTTTCCAGTTTGGGGCTACAATGAAAAAAAAAGAATTCGTAAAGGAATATATGGAGTGCCTGGGTGGCTCAGCGGGTTAAGCATCCAGCTCTTGGTTTTGGCTCAGGTCATGATCTCAGGGTCCTGAGATCAAGCTTGGCATCATGCTTGATGATTCTCTCTCCCTCTGCCCCTCCCCCACTCGCTCTCGGTCTCTCTCTCTCAATAATAAAATAAATAAATAAATGCTTTCTTTTGTGGTTAGTGCTTATGGTGTCCTGTCTAAAAGATCTCTGTCCAGGGCGCCCGGGTGGCTCAGTTGGTTAAGCAACTGCCTTCAGCTCAGGTCATGATCCTGGAGTCCCGGGATCGAGTCCCGCATCGGGCTCCCTGCTCAGCGAGGAGCCTGCTTCTCCCTCTGACCCTCCCCCCTCTCATGTACTCTCTCTCATTCTCACTCTCTCAAATAAATAAATAAATCTTTAAAAATAAATAAATAAATAAAAGATCTCTGTCCATCCCAACAGGGTCCTGTATTTTCTTCTAGTAGTTTCTAATTTTAGCTTTTATATTTAGGTCTATGATCTCTCTTGAATATTTTTCATGTATAGTGTGAAGTGGGAGTTGAGTTCATCTTTTTCAGTATGAATATCCAATTGTTCCAACAACATTGGTTGAAAAACAAGACTTTTTTCCCTCACTGAATTACCTTAATGCTTTGATTAAAAATCACTTGGCCATAGATGTGTTAGTCTAAACTGGCCTCTCTATTCTCTTCCATTGAACTGTCTATCCTTACTTCTTTTACCTTTTGAAACATGCAAATTGGCCCAGGGTACTCTCTCACACAAACAAAATAGGCCTTTTCGTACAACAAGTATTTTCTGAGCCTAGTCTGTGCCAATCAGCAGGAATATAATAGTGTTCAAGACTCAACATTTTCCTTTTTCCTCATGGTGCTTGGAGTAGTAAACATCTGCTGGTTTTGCCTGCTCTAAATACTCTCCTCTTCCTCAAGCAACAGGTTCTTAGTTCTCCACTGGGGAGCCACAGTCTGCCCACCCTCATCCCATGTGGTTCAGATGAAGCTGACCTCAACATCCCTTTCCCAAGGTAAACACACAACCCAGGCTTGGCCAGTGAGCACCAGCACGAGGACATTTTTGTAGAACCACCAGGAAGATGTAGTTTTCTTTCCTCTGTTGTTTTTTGTTTGTTTGTTTGTTTTGTTTTTTGAGAAAGAGCGAGTGTTGGGGGGAGGGCAGAGGGAGAGAGAGAATCCCAAGCAGGCTCCATGCTGATCAAGGAGCCTGACACAGGGCTCCATCCCACAACCCTGAGATGGTGACCTGAGCCAAAGCCAAGAGTCAGATGCCCAGCCGACTGAGCCACCCAGGTGCCCCTTTCCTTTGTCATTTCTATAGTTGGCAAGCTGAAGGGAGCCACTGCTGCCTGAGATTGATGCCAATATGGAGGGCATCAGAGTTGGTAGGTGGGGACTGACAGATACTCACCATTTGAGCACCTGGTCCCAGCTGCGCTTGAAGCTGACGAAAACTCCTGGGCTTTCCTATTCTGTGAGTCAATGAATTCTTCTTCTTTTTTTAACTTAAGGCTGTTCGAGTTGAACCTACTTCCCCCTGCTAAACATAAAGGAATTAATACAAGCAATAGGGAAAAAGGCAAAGTCAACATGGGCATCTCAGGGAATTTCCCTGGTCAACTTTCAAGGCAATTCTTATTTAATTCCATTCATCTTGGATACCACAGTCCAGCCCCTCTGTCCAATCAATCAACAAGTCCCTAGAAAGCAGTATTTTTCAGACTGAGGATTATGACCCACTAGTGAGTCATGAAATGAATGTAATGGGTTATGGCCAGAAGTTTTTTTTGTTTTTTTTTTTAATGAAAGAGAATGGAATAAAAGGAATAGAAAATATCAGAGGGCATTGCATGTTGTAAGGCTAAGTATTTTTTTTTTAAGATTTTTTTTTTGGGGGGGGCGCCTGGGTGGCTCAGTCGTTAAGCGTCTGCCTTCGGCTCAGGTCATGATCCCAGAGTTCTGGGATCGAGCCCCGCATCGGGCTCCCTGCTCCACGGGAAGCCTGCTTCTCCCTCTCCCATTCCCCCTGCTTGTGTTCCCTCTCTCGCTGTGTCTCTCTCTGTCAAATAAATAAATAAAAATCTTTAAAAAAAAAAGTTGTTTTTTTTTTTTTGAGAGAGAGAGAATGAGAGAGAGCACATGAGATGGGGGAGGGTCAGAGGGAGAAGCAGACTCTGCTGAGCAGGGAGCCCGATGCGGGACTCGATCCAGGGACTCCAGGATCATGACCTGCGCCGAAGGCAGCCGCCCAACCAACTGAGCCACCCAGGCGCTCAAGGCTAAGTATTTTATAAAACTTTTCTCTCTGCTGTATGCATGTATGTAGTATACATTAAAGGTATTTCTCCCTATGAGATGCAGTGAGTTTGAAAACCACCACTGGAGGGGCGCCTGGGTGGCTCAGATGGTTAAGCGGCTGCCTTCGGCTCAGGTCGTGATCCCAGGGTCCTGGGATCGAGCCCCACATCGGGCTCCCTGCTCCGCGGGAGGCCTGCTTCTCCCTCTCCCCCTCCCCCTGCTTGTGTTCCCTCTCTCGCTGTGTCTCTCTCTGTCAAATAAATAAATAACATCTTTAAACAAATAAATAAATAATTTTAAAAAAAATAAAAAAGTTTTTAAAGATATTATTTATTCATTTGAGAGAAGAGAGAGAGAGAGAGACAGCACAAGCTGGGGGGGGGGGGAGAAGCAGACTCCCCGCGGAGCAGGGAGCCCAATGCAGGGCTCCATTTCAGGACCCCGGGATCATGACCTGAGCCGAAGGTAGACGCTTAACCAACTGAGCCACCCAGGCACCCCTCCCCTCCTTTCTGTTTGCTAAGAGAACTTTGGTTTTGTTCAGGAATGGAAGCAGCCATGTGTTTATGGGGAGGTGGAGCTGAGTGGAATCAGGGATGGTGGTAAGCCTCTTCATAGCCTAGGAGTGAGTTTTGATTGATCCATGCCAGTGGTTTTCAAAGTGTGGTCCAAGAACCCCTGAGAGTCTCTGAGACCCTTTCAGGAGGTCCATGAGGCCCTCCTTTTTGCAACAACGTATCTGTGTGAGGCCAGAATTTCTTTACATATTTCAAGCAAAACAACATATCACAATGGATTAAATGCAGAAGGAGAAAGTAGAATCCAGCTTCTTCTATTACGTCAGACATTAAAGAGATAAAGAAAAATGTAAAACAATGTCACTTTTCCACTAATTATTGTTTGGGGGGAAATGCCATTTTTCACTAAAATAATTATTATTTAAGGGGCGCCTGGGTGGCTCAGATGGTTAAGCATCTGCCTTCAGCTCGGGTCATGATCCCAGGGTCCTGGGATCGAGCCCCACATGGGGCTCCTGGCTCAGCAGGGAGCCTGCTTCTCCCTCTCCCACTGCTCATGCTCTCTCTCTCTCTCTCTGTATCTCTGTGTCTCAAATGAATAAATAAAATCTTAAAAAAAAATTATTATTTAAGTTAACATGTAAAGGGTAATTTTAAGTGAATTAATGAATGCATATATTTTAATTTTTCAGTTTTACCTTTTAAAACAGCAAACATCAGTCAATATAACCACAAAAACCAAAGCTCTTTGGGGTCATTATAATATTTAAGAGTTTGAAAACCACAAACATAAGCCAGTCATGGTCGTCTCCTACCCTTTACCAGTGATTTTATCAGGAATATGGTACAATTCTAGAAAATGGAACTTAAAATCTGCTGAGGACTTCTGCAAAAGTGTTCCTTCTAGGGAAAAAAAGAAGAGCTGATAGGAGGAAACAGTCCCTGTCCTTTTACTAGGTTAATGTGCACGCAATGTGATGCCTAGAGCTGTGGCAGCCATCTTGCAGCTATGAGGTTACAAGGCTGAGGCAAAGTCTGCACACTGAGGACAGCAGAATGAAGAGATGGAAAGAATATGCGTTCTTGAAGATAGTGTTGAACCTCTGTCTGTATCCACCAGCACAAGACCACCTATCTCTGGATTTCTTGTTTTGTGAGATAATAAATCTCTCCCCCCACTAGATTGTAAGATCCATTAGGCAGAGTTTTGCCTTAATTTGGGGTTTTTAACTATTTTAATCACTGCCCTATCACCAGCACCTAGAACAGAGCCAGGAACATAGTAGGTAATAGGTAAATGTTTGTTGAATAAATGGATGACTCCATTGAATTATCCATGAATAAAAAGTCTTTGTTGGATTTTGATGTTGTTACTTATAGCCAAAGAATCCTACTCGAATCAAGTGTCCAACACTACTCCAATTTCCATCTGTGGGGATCTTTTTCAGAGATCCTCTTCAATAACCTCCTTCCATCAATCAGCATCCCAGCCTATGCTGGGCATGACCTAATTATAACCCCACAACACTAAGGGATTATCTCTGTTTGAGCAATTCTGCCGCCCCCCACACACACATTTTTTTTTTAACTGCCTCCACTAGAGGTAGGGGTCAGAGACTTATTAGTTTGGGTACAATATCCCAGCTGCTATAACAAAGAGACCTTAAGTTATTGGCTCAAACAAAATCAAGTTTATTTTTCTCGCACTTACCAATCCAGACTTAGGTGGTTCTAAGGTAATAGCATTGACAAACTCAACACACAATTTCAATCTCCATGTCCAAGGTAGCTGCACTAGCTTCTGCCATCACATCTGTATCCCAGCCAGTGGTAAAGGGCAGGAGAAAGGGCAAAGAGGGAACATATCCATTTCACTTAATGGCATGATCTGAAATGAGCTTGCATCATTTCTGCTCATATCTCACATAAACTCTCATAAACATCTCAGAACTTGGTTACATGAACACTTAGATCCAAAAAAAAAAAAAGAAAAAGGTCAGAAATGTAGTCATCAACTGGACAATCCTGTGCCAGCCAAAACTCATGAGTTCTTTTATTAAAGAAAGAAGGAGAAAAGAAGATATTAGTGGTCAAGCAGCTGTCTTTGCTACGTTCGGTTTGGTTTGATTTGTATTTGTATCCTCAGAGCCTTAAACAAGGCTTGACACATGGTAAATGTTGAGGAGATGTTTAAAGAAAGAAATAATAAAGGAAACAAAGAAATAAACAAAAAAACCCAGAATCCAACCCTTAATCTGGAGAGAACTCAGATGAAGCATTAATGTACCACAGACAACACAAAACAACACTTGCTGGGGGTGCTAGATCAATTAATATGGTCTCTAAGGTAAACCATTTTCTCTAGTTCCACAAGACCCCTCAACCTCTCATTTCCACAGAAGCTAATTCTCTCTAGTCTGTGACCCACTCTATGGGGCAAAATCTCTCCATGGCCCTTCACCTGTGTTCACTTTCAATTGGACCAAAAAATCAGTGACAACAATGGAGAATAGCGGGACACTTGTAACCTTCATAAACTCAGAGACCCGTGTAGATTCAGCCTTGGAGATGTCACGTTCAACAGGGGCACCTGGCTGGCTCAGTCAGTGGAGCATGTGAATCTTGATCTAGGGGTGGTGAGTTCAAGTCCCATGTTGGGTGTAGAGATTACTAAAAAATAAATAAATAAACTTTAAAAAAAAAGAGAGAAACAGTTCAACAGCCAAAAGATATTAAAAAGGAATTGCATTTCCCATGCACATCTCTTAAGAACATTACAAGAAATTCACAGCAATACTAATTAGAGGTCCTTGTCCTTTCTTAGCTCTCCCACCCCACCCCCCAACTCCTTTCAACTGCTCCAGGGCCTGGCTTGCCAAGCCCTGCATTCATCAGCTAGCCTATGCTCTTCCCCTCCCTCCTCTCAGCCTGTTAGATGAGAGGCTCTCAAAGGTCCGAGGACCAGCAGGAGTAGCATTATCTAGGAGTTTGTTTGAAATATAAATCCTTGGGCCCAGACCTATTCAATGGGAATCTCTGCAGTAGGACCCAGGTGACCCTTAGGCACAATAAAGTCCAAGGAGCACCTGACCTGGCTCACTGATTTACAACTTTGGCTGCACATCTTGACAGTTTAGCAAAATCTGGGGGCACCTGGGTGGCTCGGTTGGTTAAGCAACCGACTCTTGGCTTTGGCTCAGGTCATGATCTCAGGGTTATGAGATCAAGTCCTGCATCAGGCTCCATGCTCAGTGGGGAGTCTGCTTGGGATTCTCTTCCTTCCTTCTCCCTCTGCCTCTCTCTCTCAAATAAAAATTAAAAAATCTTTAAAAAGAAGGAAGAGAAGAGAGAGGAAGGAAGGAAGGAAGGAAGGAAGGAAGGAAGGAAGGAAGGAAGGAAGGAAGGAAGGAAGGAAGGAAGGAAGGAAGCGAATCCTCTGATGGGTCCAGCTTGGGTCATGTGTCCAGCCCTGAACCAGTCACAGTGGCCAGATGAACAGTGTCCTCTGATTCACTACCTGCCGCCCCGCCCCGCACCCCCCCACCCCACCCCACCCCCTCACCCCCCACCTCCCTCCACCACTGCACATGTTCACAGCAGAAGTTAAACCCAGATGTGGCTGTAGAGGAACCAAATGGAACGACAATGAAGGTGGGATAGTCCACTTAAGGGATGCTCAGCAGGTGAAAATACGGTTTGCAGCTCTATGCTCCCCCTCTGTCTC